ACTACAGCTCCCAGCATGCCTGGCGAGGGCCCCGCCGCCCGCGCGCTCCCGAGCTGAGCGCGGCTTTCCCCGAGCCTCTTCCGCCCGCGGGATGGAGCGTGGTCCTCGAGCCCAGGGCGGGACTCACCCTGTAATTGTGATAGTGCGTCTCCACGAGATGCCGGTGGCGCGACTTGTCGTGGCCGAAGTTGGACTTCTCGCACACCAGCAAGTGCCTGGGCACGTCCCGCAGCCTGCGCAGCGTGGCCATGCTCTCCCCGCGCAGGCGCTGCCGGGGCTCGGCTCGCCCCGCCCCTTCCCCGCCCGGCGGGCATGCGCAATGTCAGCAGGCTGCACGTGTTGTGGCAGCCCGGGGTAGGGATAGGGGCGGGGGCGGGGGCGGGCGGGCGGGCCAAGACGTCTTAGGAGCCGGTGCAGAGCTCGCTAATGGGTGCCTGGAGAGTGTGCTGCCTGGAGTGAACTCTCCTACCTGAATCTTTCCTCTAGGGCCCGGGTTGCTCATCCCAAAATGTTAAAGAAGTTTGTGTCGGAAGGAAATGCACAATTTTTGCTTTTCGCCCTACAGTAAGACTCCTTAAGACTCTTTTAGAACCACTTTTAAGGTCTCTTTTTAAATATCCTTTGGAACCGCTTTTAATGATTTGTTGCTATGGGAGGTTATAGTGCTAATTAATTTTCCATTTGATTTTTCTTACCAACTCCAAGTACTATACTAGTACACCCTTCTCAAACGAGCACGCACAGCCCCAGTGCTACGCAGAGGGGATGCAAAACAGAATGTTTGTGGTGCAACTCTCTGGAGTACCAATTTCACTATAAGATTTGGAAGAAGAGAAGTTAAGTAATTTAGAAGGTAAGTATTTACAAATCCAAAACTAAGACTGGAAAGTCCTCTCCCATTAATAAGCAATCTGTCCCTGAAATGTTAGATTATCTCTGAGAATACTCTAAGGAAAACCTATTTTTCATATTTTAAATAGGAAAAATTCTGAGGAAAGGCAAGTCAACCGAAAAACTACCAATCACAATTTGGCTCCTAGATGTAACTTATAACTATCGCATTCCAATGTAAAATGCGTAAAGGAGAGGACTTGAATCTCCCAGTCAGGGCTCAGGGCCAGACTGCTCCATCCCCTCTCTCTTTGGCTGGTCTCCCTCTGACAGGTTGGAAATCGGGGAAGAACACAAACATTAAAAATGGCAACTATGTGGGGGATATGTGAAATGTGTCAATATGTGGACCTGTACAAATGAAGGAGTATTTTAAAATCAGAACACTACACAGTGCTGTCTGTTACATCTCAGCAAAGCTGGGGAAAAAGCCGAACCCAAATGTCCCAGTCTAGGTGGGAGCATGTAGCTCGGTGGTAGAGCACATATTTAGCGTGCACAAGGTCCCAGGTTCATTCCCCAGTCCCTACGTTAAATAAATAAATAAAATAAAACTACTTGCCCCCCTCTCCCCCCAAGATTTTTAAAAAATATATAAAACTTTTTAAGAAACGTTACAGTCTGATTTACAGGCTTATAAACAAATTTGGCAGAGTATTTGGAAATGGTTGAAATTTTTTATAACACTCATTTTTAGTTGGCTTAAACTTAAAAATATGTTTAGAAGTAAATCGGTATGTAAAAAATTTAAATCATAGCTGTCAAGAAACTTCAAATATCTAGGAGGCATTTCTGCATAACTTGGATTTTACCACAGTTTGAAAACTGTTCATCCATAATGCAGTTGATGAAATCATACATTCACAGAAAAAGGGGTCGCTATGATACTGATGCAATTATTAATAATTATGTAATGATACTGTGTGTAGTACTACATGTCACATTGACACCGATGATGAATAAGGCGTTGCACTAGACATGTTATATTCATCACCCACGAGATTCCTCTCTGAGGTAGGTTTTAGTGTCTTCAACTTAGAGGCTAATTAGTGAACAATACATGGCAAATAAACTCTCTGAAATGAGAACGGCTCTCAAAAAATACAATGTTGAATGAGAATCCGAGTTACATAGGTAGACATAGCACATACATTTATAGAAAGTATAAAAACTTAGACAAAGTTAAACAATATATTATTCAGACAGACACACCTAGTAACTGTAATGAAAGTCAAATGAACAACATTTTTTAAAACTGCAGATGAAGGTTTCTTCTGGGAGGGGAGTGAAGTATTGTGTTTGGGGAGGGCCATGTAGATGGATTCCAAGGTGGTGGCATAGTTTTATTCACTAAGCAGATGACAGGTAAGGGCTGTTAATTTTATCTTTCTGTATACCATATATTATTTTGAATGTATAAAATAGTGCATCATAATTTTTAAAGTTTTTAAACAGTTTCATTGAGATATAATTCATATACTATACAACTCACTCATGTAAAGTGTACAACTGAATGGTTTTTAGTACATTCACAGATATGTGCAACCAACACCACGGTCAATGTTAGAACATTTTCATCACTTCAGAAAGAGACACCCTTTGGCTATCACCCTCCTGTCTTCCTTGCCCTTCTCCCCCGGCCCTAAGCAGCCACTAATCTACTTTCTGTCTCTATAGATTTCTTTTCTGCATGGTTCATATAAATGGAATCATACAATACTTTGACTTTGATGACTGACTTCTTTTACTCGGCATGTTTTTAAGGTTCATCCAAGTTGTAGCACGGCTTGAAGTCCTTCATTTTTTATGGCTGGCATAATAATTTAAAATTTTTTTTATCTTGAATGTTGATATTTGAGGGGAAATAGCTTAATTAGAAGGAAATGAAAAATATTAAGTACATATTAGTCTCTGAAGGTGATGAGGTAAGAACACCAGGTGAGCTAAATCCCCGAATTCTCCAGAAGCTGGAGCGGGGAGCTAGCTCCAGGCAGGGGTGGGTGGACAGGTGGCGCCAAGTACATCTATCCACAGAGCACGCGTGGAACCTCCGTGTACTTCACCTTCATGCCCATTGGGAGGATTCATTTATTCAATCAATAACCTCTTAAGTGCCTGTTATATGTTTAATTTATTTCTTAATTGAAGTATAGTTGACTTACACCAGAAATTAACACAATATTGTAAACCGATTATACTTCAATTAAAAAAGAGAGAGAAAGAAGAATCACTGCTGTTTGTGCAATCAGTATCATGATGCTTTCTCTTGAAGATGAGTTCGTACAACTGTTCCAAGTCCAGTAACTTGTCCAAAGCCCCATAGCTACTTAGCGGCTGGGCCGACACTCAGAATCAGCTCTGCCTGCCGTCGGAGCCACCCGCCGCCTCCCTGGTCATCCCAGGTTCTGGAGCCACTTCTGCAGCAAGAGCAGCCTCCTTCGAGGCTTCAGTCTGTCTAATACTCCTCACCATCGGAAACAATCCCCTTGAGAGAATGCTGAAGTCTCCTGGAAAGACTTGAAGTAACTTGGGGAGATGGCTGAGTTGAGGAAATCAAGCCTCCAGCAGTAGAATTTTCATTTCTAATCACAGCAGGAATTTGAAAACATACATAATGCACTCCACATGTTTGCAGATTCTTTTCCTCTTTTTTTGGTACTTGCAGGCTACGTATGATTTTCAGCACGGACTAAACCAAACTACCGCATCTGAAACAGCCCCTTAGTCTGAAAGCAAGTGATATAAAGGTGGGGTCTGCTGAGAAGACATTTCCCCCTGCTGCAGTTTAGCCAAACGGCTGTGCAAGAAATTGTCCTTTGCTTTTAACAAGGCAAAGCTGTTCCTGGAGACCCCGTGGCACACACAGAAGTCACTTGCAGCCAGTCCCTGAGTCAGTGGTTCTCCCCACTGGCTACACATTACAACCACTGGATGGGGGGGCCTTTTAAAAATTCTCTTAAGTTGTGAATTGCAACAGACCAATTAAATCAGAATCCCTGGAGTGGGGCCTGGGCATCGGTATTTCTGATGGCTCTCCAGGTGACTACAGTGCCCAGCCAAGGCTGAAAACCATCACTTTAAACCAACGTCTTTTGGTGAACTAGTTGCAAACGGTTTATCAAGCAGATGTCAGCGCGTTTGCTGCTGGATCTTAGCCTTTCAGCCTCTCCTGAGCTGCCTCCTTGCCATCCTGGGCACGAACGGACCCTTTCTCCTCATTTTACTCCCGATTCAACCCAGTTCCGCGGGTTCTGAGTGCACATTGTGCACAGGGCGCTATGCTACGAGCTGTGGTCCTGGTGTGTGCACCACATGGGGAAGACGTTTCTGGAGAAAGTATCGCATCATTAAAAAACAAAAACCACGCCACCTACCAAATTAAAGCAAAAATTGAAAAGGTCTAAGGGGTTAGGACGCTAATACTTTGGAATTTTAAAATCCATCTGATGACACGATGAATGAACCTGTCCCACATCAAAAGAAAACAAAACAAAATGCTGCTGTTACATATTGAGTCAGGACTTTTCCTGTAAATATTGTAACATTTAAATTTTTATTGACGTATAACATGCATACAGAAGTACATGCTGGAATCACTTAGGATGTATTATTGTGGAGCGAACACACCTGTGTAGCCAGGAGCTACACCAGCTTCGTGTGGTCCACCCCCCACCCCAGACATCACTTTCTTCCTCTACAAGGCAACCAGCATCTCTGTGGCTGACACTGTGGACCAATTTTGTCTTTTCATAAAAGCATTTTATTACAGAAAATTGTAAGCATTTACAAAATAACAAAATGCCATCTCAGGTCTGTCACCCAGCTTCGGGGACTACTAACTATCTGCCATTTTTGTTTCACTGATACCGCCAGTGACAACCCACCCCTCGCTTTTCTTTTTCAGTTTTTTTTTTTTCAGTTTAGAGGTACACACATTGAAAGGCACCAAGGCTGTGAGAAGTACACACACCCGTGCGTACCTCGCCCCTTTGACGAGCAGAGTGTGTCCATCACCTCCAGAAAATCCCCCCAGGCTCATTCCCAGGCAGTTCCCTCCTCCCCCACCGGCCACCGCTCCTGTGCGCCCTCCAGCCCGGGCTCTCGGCGGCGCGGATGTGAGGTCCACTCGGGACGCGGGCGCCCACAGTGCGTGCCTCTGTATTCCGGGTTGGGTTCTGTTGTATAGACATGCCACCGTTTGTTCATCCATTTTCCTATCGACAGATATTTGAGTTATTTTCTGGTTTTGGCTGCTCTGGCTAAAGGGGTCTATGAACTTCTTACACAAATACTTTTTGTGTTTTGTTCCCTTTATCAGCATTTAAGCCACACCTCTTTCCCTTGTTTGAGCGGTCACTCCAGGGATTACAGTGAGCACTGATCACGTGCCTAGATCTGCTTGGGGCTGAGAGCAGACTCTCTGAATACATGTGCAAAACAAGCACCTTGTTACAGAGCAGCCCCATTGCCCTCTTTCTATCCTGTGAGCTACTGTCATCACACATCTTACATCTCCATGCTATAAACCCTGCAAAACAATGTTAACATTTTTGCTTGAAATACTCATAAGTCTTTAATGAAAAAGAATATGAGGATGAATATATGTGTATATAAATGCATGACTGGGACATTTTGCTGTACACTGACACATTGTAACTGATTATACTTCAATAAAAAATTACAAAAAATACTCATAGGTCTGTCAAAGTAATTAAGAGAAACAAGTTATTAGTAAGTATTTGAAGGGAGATATTTGAGGCTATGCAATATATTGTGTCTCCTTTAAGTTTCACTCACAGTTTTTGCATTTAGAACTGAATCTTGCCTACGGTGATTCTTACTGGAGCGTCCTATGATGATTCTATCCTCTGGGTAATAATCCAGGGCTATCATTACTTACTTTGTTGCTTGCATTGTTCCAGCTTGAGCCACTGGGGGCTCTTTCAGGTCAGCTCTTTTTGACATGGTCCATACTTTTTTGTTTTTAAAGCACGTTTTTCCTTTCTGGCACTATGAGATACCCCAGGCTCACCTTGTGCCTTCCACTTCAGCCCCAGAATTAGCCTTTTCTCCAAAAAGCCCTGGCTCCTTTTCTTGGAGAATGGTACAGCAGTCCCCCCTTAGCTGAGGTTTCCCCTTCTGCGGTTTCAGTTAACCGTGGCCAACCTATGGCCCAAAAATAATAAATGAAAAATCCCAGAAATAGCAAATGCCTAAGTTTTAAACCGTGGGCCACTCTGGGTAACGTGATGAAATCTCCCCTGTCCTGCTCTGTCCCGCCGGGTCCCCCAAACGTCAACATTGTCTACTCCTGACATCCAGCCATCGACTTCACCGTGGGTGACAATCTGCGGTCACCCAGGCAGGTGGTCCTCCTTCCAGCATCTGCTCAGAAGGTCCGTAGTAGCCCAATGCCACATCACAATGCCTACGTCACTCACCTGTCATCTCATCACACAGACACTGTATCATCCCACATCATCATAAGACGAAAGGTGAGTGCAGTACGATAAAATATGTTGAGAGTCCACAGCCACATAATTTATTATAGTCTATTGTTATAATTGTTCTATTTTATTGTTATTGTTGTTAATCTATTACTGTGCCACATTTAAAAATTGAACTTTATCAGGTATGTATGTATAGGAAAAAGCACGGTATATACAGGGTTCAGTACTGTCTGCAGTTTCAGGCCAGCTCAGAGCTGCAGCACAGTGGTGCAGGTTGTGCACTGCAGACACTATGAGCAGACTTTACAATCAGCATGACTCTTCCTGTGTGTTCTCTTCACCAACCAACTACACAAACCAGATTTTCATATTAAATAATAGACAAAAAAGCGAACCGACTGCAGGACCAGCACAGTGCCTGGTAGATGAAAGACAGTAAAGAAATGGTTTCCTTTCCTTCCTTGATTTTCCAGGGTGGGTTAGAAAGGCACAGTTTCCCTAGAGAGTGACTGAGATTTTGCTCCAGCATAAGAAACGGGCTGAGGAGCAGCTCCTGGTGGCTGCGGTTGTGACAGCTTGAGCTGGTTTACTGTTATGTTTTTACATAGAACAGTGCAGTGTGGCTGCACCTAATAGCTGAATTCCTAGGAGAGTATTTGGACTGAGCTGTCAGAGGCAGATATGTAAATCAATGCAAAGTATGTAAATAAGTTTCCTCTTCCAAATGCTGCCTCTTGAAAGCACACTCCACACCACAATCCTTGGGCGCTGCCCATGCTCACCATTCACCACTCTGAGCACCTGACGGCGCTGCCTGTGGAGACACAGTCACGATGACAGAGCAGACACCGCCGCCAGGGGGCACACACGGGGTCTCCCACGTGGCCCAGGTTCCTAAAGGGAGTTGGGTGACGGGCTGCCATCCCTGGAACTCAAAGCTTTAACAAGGTGGTAAAGGAGTGAGAAGAGGAGGACCCTGGCTGTGTCCTCACGGCCCCAGGCCCAGCCGGTGTCTAGCCCCCGCTGGTGCCAGCAGGGTGGGGAAACAGGACTGTCCTGGGTAAGGACCTGCGGCAGGATCTCAAAGCCCATTTGAGCCCCGGGGAGGGAGCCACGTGGGCGAGGCTTCATCTGCAGGGTTGCCGGGACGGCCCTGCGCAGATGCTCACGACAGGAATGAACACTGTTCCTCCTGACAACGTCAGTGTCCCTGCTCTAAGATCTGTGATTGTTCTGTCCAGAACAAGTGTCCTCTCAGTCACCAGCACAGTAACTTGGGCTTCCCCTGGGGCTCAGTGTAAACCCTGAATCCAGTGAGTTACAGCTCAGAGGGACCGGGCAGAGCAAGCTCCCCACTGATGGTCTGAGGAACTACATACTGCCATACTGAGCCATCCTGGACGAAATACCTGTCATGTCAAAAAAGCATGTGCGTCTTCTAAGCTGTCACAATATATTGCCAAGTAGCCCTACAAAAATGTACCTGTGAATATTTCCACTGATGGTAAGAAGGCACATTTCCAGCCTTCCCTGATGCTAAGTATTCTGAGTTTTTTCATCTCTGCCAAGCTGATGCTTTAAAAGGTATGCTTTTATATGTATTTCTTATTAGTGATGTTTAAAATCTTTTCATATTTGAATTAGATTTTAAAATTTCTTTTTTAAAAAAATGACTATTCTTGATATATTCATATTAGAGTATTGATTGTTCTCTTACTAATTTGTGCATCACACATATTGCATATATTGGAAATATCTGGTCACTTCTCTTTTCAGCCTTGCTCATAGTGCTCGATAATCAAGAAAGGCAATCATTTAAAAAAATTTATCACAAAGCATAAATCATGGCACCTTCCTAAGCAAGGGAACGTTTTTTTCATGATTAGTCTAAACATGTATGCAAAACAGTTCTCCGACACTGAATTGTTTCTTAGAACCTGCTCCTTGAGCTGTAAGGAGGTCCCTCTCCGACGATAAGTCAGCAGAGACGCTTGTGGCGCCTGCTCTTCAGCAGCCGAGTGCTCCTTGTGCTCCTGGAGCTGGGAGCATGGACACAGCGGAGAGCAGCCCCTGCCGGGGAGGCAGGCAGAGCAGTGGGGGTCCTTCAAGTCCCTGTGCCCTGCTGGACAGCAAAGGAGGCAACACTTGGCAGACCCGCCAGGGGCACTTGGTATCAGGGGGCAAAATTAACAACGCATCACTCTGGCAATTGCTTTAGTTGAGGTATTAAAGCTGGAAGCAGATTTGCTTCAAGTGCTCTGGCACACAGAATGTCAGCAATTCCTCTGCCCTTTGATGGAGGGGAAAAAAAACAGATTTTAAAACATCTATCAGAGAGGGTGGCCAAGATGGCTGAGTAGGAAGACACTCACCTCCTCCATGGACACACCCAAATTTCAACTGCTTACAGAGCAACTGTCTGTGAGAATGACCTGAAAGCTAACAGACAAGATTTTCCACAACTAATGAACCACGGTCAGATGGATAGTAGAAGTGGAGACACAGGATAGTTGGCCCTAGGCCCGCAGTTCGGTGACCCACAAATGGGAGGCTAATCATGATTGTAGAGGGTTTCCCCAAGGAGTGAGGGGTCCAAGGCCCATATCAGGCTTCCCAGCCTGGGGTTCCTACACGGGGAAGATGATCCCCCCAGAACATCTGGTCTTGATAATCAGTGGGGCTTATGTTCAGGAGAGCGAGCCGGCTGTAGGAAACAGAGACCCCTCTCTTAAAGAGTATGTGCAAAATCTTACATGCTCCAAATCCTAGTGCAGAGGCAGTAATTTGAAAGCAGCGTGGGTCAGACTCACTTGCCTTCTTGGAGAGCCCCCTGGAGAGGCAGGAGGCAACTGGGATTCCCCCAGGGAGCAGACTCCTCCTAAAGCTGTAATCCCAGGGGCCCATGTGTGTGCCCAAGGCCTGCAAGGCATCTTCCCTCAGGCTGAACAGGGTTCCATCCACGCCCAGCATTTCCAGCACTCTGGACAGCTCCATCTTTCTTTCATGTCTTCGAGGTAGAATTGTGCTCAGGACTGTGTCCTGCTTGTGCAGAGGATTTCAGGGGGCTGCAGACAAGTTAATTCACAAGGAGCTTGGAAAAGTCCTGCACAATGTGGCCAGTTGTCTCATCTCTCCCACGACTGAACGGTCCACTTAAGAGACACAGCGTCACAAACTCAAATCAGGACACCTGAGGCCACAGACCTGAGCCCCGGGAGGCTGCAGAGCTGAGGTTTAGAGCACAAGCTCACGGGATGGGGCAGGACTGGAGCTGGGGGTGGGGTCGGCCGAGGGCAGGGGCTTCATGGTGATGGTGCAGCCCTCCCGCTGGGCTGTCCCGTAGCCCGGGAGCCCACAGGTGGCCATCACTTCGTCATGTGATGACCCATCAGCGAGTCCTGGACATCTTCCCACTTGCAGCCCATGCACAGCACTGTCTCAGTCCACCAGGTGCTTGTGGTCGGGGCGTGTCTCCATGTAAGGTCTCCCCTCAGACCCCCCTGTTTATCCACGGGTCCCTGTGATTTCCTCTAACATGCCTCTCTCACTGGGGTGCAGGGTCAGGAAGTTTTTAATGTTATTTTTTTTTAATTTCATCTTTATTGAGGTATAATGAACATAAAAAATTGTAAGAGATTTAAAGTGTACAGTGTGATGATTTGATAGATGCACACATTGTAAAAGGACTCCCCCATCTAGTTAATACATCCGTCACGGGAATTTCTCAAGTAGGTTTTTCACATTCCACAGGCAGATAAATGGGA